CATTTTGTAAATTAGGTTGTTACATATTGCTAGCTTTTGGGTATTACATGTATATTTTATATTGGGCTTCTTTGTACTTTGTATTGTCTGAAAATCAAATTACTTATTTCTCTAGTGATTTTAATATTAATAAAAAGTTTATAATTTACTCCTGTTTGTGATTCCACACTCGTTTCATTTGTAAGGTACCATATATTTAGGATACCTTATGTTTACAAGAAAGAATCAATTAATATCATGTTTAAACTTATTATGTTTAAATGGAACTGGAAAAATATTTATTTTGTAATTACTAGACATTTAAAAAATACTGTTAGTTAATGTTAGACTTGATATTCATAGTTTTCCAGAACCACAAGAAATAAATGTTTGTTGGTTTATGTTTATAAGCAAAAAAAAAAAGCTTTATAAAGATTACTTAAAAAATAATAAGAGATGAAACAGTACTTATAAAGCATTATTATGTAAAAACATTTTTAACTATATTTTAGTCCTTTTCACATGAGAAAGTTAGTAATAGAAAAGTCACAAAATCAAAACTGAAACACTTTCACTTTGATCAAAATTGCAATTTTGAACATATTCACGTGTGGAAGTATTTGTATTTCTTCATTTCCCCAATACTTTTGTTTATATTTTGTATGTCTTAAGTATTTCATATCCATTTGCCAAATTCTCTCTGAACATTTAAAAATAGGGCTGACTACTTCTCCAGATTTATCCAAAATTCACTGATTCTTTTTTTTTTTTTTTTTTTGCTTCAAATTTGCATTTCTTGACATTACTGAAACTGACTAGTAGACATTTTGGTAGCACAGTGCTTGCTGGCTTCAGGCAGAAGATTAAAAAAGTGGTAATATGTTCTTGATTATCTGGTTCAGATGGGGCTAAGGACAATATAAATTCAGCAAGCATGAAAAAATTAAAATTTGGCAGTATATGACATGCAGAATTAAAACAGCTAATTAAATAACAAACTATATTCTCCTGGAATTGAAGGGCACAATCAAAAACTGACAAATCAAGTGGTCATTCATTAAAAATAATAAGCAATAAAACAACAACATAACACAACTGTTTGAAAAAGATGAGGATGTAAGAATGGAGATAGATTGGATGCCACTAATGATTGTGGGTAACCAGAAGAAGAGAAAGATCAAATCAAACACCTACAATTTAATCTCAAGGCACAGACCAAATCCCAGGAATTGCCTATAACTCAGATGAAAAAAATCTCTTAATTCATGAAACCATAGGGTCAAGGTTGCCAAAATCCATATGCAAATCTAAATTGATTCGTTGCCAAGTTGTAATGTTACTAGGATTTACAGTCTCACAGGGTTTGAAAATGAAGTGGGCAATATTTAAGAAGACAGAGGGAGAAGCTCAGCACTGAAATGGGACTCCTGGTAACTCATCTCCCAGTCCCTGAACAGCTCATTAGTATTCAGGAATGGTTTCTTGGTAGGTGAACTTTGTTGAATAACTACATGTCAATGAATTACATGCGAGGGAAAGCAAATTCTCTTTCCAGACATCTTTCTTTCTAGCCTTCCTCTTTCACCGATTCTCACTGTTTCTGTATAATAGGACTAGAATCAGGATCTCTGTATCCCGATGGGCAGATCACAAAGTGAGGAGCAAAAGTGGATGCACCAGGGTGCAGGGCCAAGACGACAGCAGCTCCCAGAGAGGGTCTGGGAAGTGGTGAACAGGTACCCGCCTTGGGAGCCATCGTCTGAACGAGAGCCCTGAAAATCCACGGAGAGGAGGTGGGAGTGCATGGGAGAAGATGACAGTGGGATGAGCTGCTCGTGGGGACGGGAGGAAATGAGGAGGCCCACACACGTGGGAAAAGACAGAGGAGCGGTCCCAAGCTCGGCTCTCCCCGGGACACGGCAGCCGGAGCAGCTGGGCCCTGCACGGCCGCAGCCTTGAGACCTGGCACCGCACCGGCGGTTCGGCCACTTGCTCTGGGAGGAGGAAGGCTGGCTGTGAGCCCGGGCACTGCGGCTGGTGAGCTGTCCGCCCCAAACCCGGAACGCTGCTTTGGCCCAGGTGGCAGACCTGTGACTCTGCCTCCTCCTCACCACTGCCAGACAGGCGGGGAGCAGGGAATCCTGGCACTTGCATGAGTCCCTGTCACTGCGGCCACCACGGCCACCAAGGCCACCGGGCCACTGCGGCCACCGCGGCCACCACGGCCACCACGGCCACGCAGGCACCACGGCCATCACAGCCACCAAGGCCACGCGGCCACCACGGCCACCGCGGCCACGCAGGCACCACAGCCACTGCGGCCACCACGGCCACCATGGCCACCACAGCCACCACGGCCACCGCGGGGCTGAAGACATGGGCATAGCACCCGCTGCTTGTCCTGGGTGATCCCACTCAACGACACTGCCCATGGGAACTGTGCAAGAGTTTCTGATGTTATTACACGTATATCTTCTCACCCCCTAATATTCTGAAATTAGAAAAGTCCTTGACCTTTAAAAAATGGAGGATGCAGATTTGTTAACCATATACAAGGATATTTTTGTCAATGTCAAAGTACAATACCTTGTCTCTAAGATGTCAAAGTGTGACAGATCCTTTGATTATTATAACTAATAACCCATTCTCGAAGTGCACATGCAGTTTAGTGTTTACTGGACGACAAGAGAGTAAGAGGATTCCTACTATACAAAGAGAGAAGGAAAGAGTAGGGATGAGAACTTAAGAGTGATTTCCTTACTAGAAAAAAATACTGTGATAATTTTAAGGAAATTTTAACTACAGATGTTGAGCCATTTGGGTACTGACTATATGGGTCAAGACCACAGGGATAACTATATAGGCAGGTCACCAACAGCTCAGAGCCCAGGTGAACAAAAACGTAATGGATAAGAGAAGACAGGAAACCTAAATATCAGCCATGCCTGAGTACCAGTTATACAAGTGAGACAAGACCTTTATCCCATATTAGCAACTCTTTCTTGTTGTGTTATATATATATAATGTGCAAAAATATATGCACACATGTATATCATAAAGATAGATGTCATACATACAAATTTGTAAATACATATTACACCTATTTTTATATTATATGTGATATAAATGTTTTATATATAATATGTATGTTATATTTATCCATCTACAGAAATTTATTTATTTATTTTTTTGATTTATTTTGAGTATACAGGAACTAGAGAAAGAATGGCCATCACCAGACTTATTGGGCTACTAGATGACTGTGGATTGAATGAGCCTTGAGGTGTACTTTGTTTTGATTGACAATAAATTGAATTGTTAGTGGGAGCAGAGTTGGGGGTAGTGATACTATATGAAGAAAGGTTTATATTGACATTGTAAAGCCAAAGTTTAGATTACTTAGGATATAATATGCTCTTTTTTCCTTTTGACTTCCCAACATTTGAACCATTTGGGAGGGAATTCTTACCATATGAGTGGAGAGTTTATCTCTAATTGAATAAACCAAAAAGACTATATTCATTCCCATAGTTACCTCTTTCAACTAGAACACACACAAATTGCTTAGCCTCAGAGCAGAGACCCTTACCTCTGACTTATATGCAGGATTGAGTGATGCCAATAGAAAGCATGTAGAACGCACTTGGAGCTAAATGTTGTCATTAGTGGAAGTAGCAACATGCAGTTTTCATGGGAAACGGTAGTATCATTGCCAAAGGCAGCATTCAACGTCCATTTTAAGCAGTGTCCATGGAACAAGCTGTGCTATGTGATGTTGAGGGCTAGCGGCTGGAGTCTTTGTTCAACCAGTCTGGAAGGTGAAATTGTCCAGACTCTCCCTGGCTAGCTTCTTTTTCCTCCTGCTGACTTTCTAAGCCTGTTTTTCCCTCCTTGTAGAAATTCAGTAAACTATCCAAATTAATATCAATACATTATTTTTCCTACTTAATTCAATCAGAGTCAGATCACATTGCTCACAAATAAGCAACAAAGATAACTTGCATATGAATAGATGTTTTTATATTTTGGTCATGTACACATATTAAATCATGACACTGCATTTTTTCCTTTTAATTGTAATCAATATTTTTCTTATGTGGCTTTGTCCTATGTCTATATTATTTGTGAAATCTCCTTAGGTCTTATAGAGTATATATTTAATTTTTGAGGGTATCATTTTTTTTCTGTTGCTTGCCACCTGGTATTATAATGGTGCTATTGAGATTTTGGATATTGAGGAAATGGATGTAACCATTCCTCTGTCAGTTAACCCACTAAATTTACCCGTAATAACCAGCACACAAAGCCCAGTATCCAAAGCTTCGTATTGACATACTATTGTGGACTAAAGTTTACTTTTGGAGATTATGACTCCCAGAATTCACAAAACATTTCCCTATTACTGTGGATTTTTTTGGTAGGGAATTGTAAAATTACCTGGTTATAGCAAATGGTATAACATAAAAAGGTGGAGGGGTTAGAAATTGAAAAGAACACTTAATCTCACAAGTCAATCTTCTTGCCAAGCCCTTACATCTTGAAAACGTGAAAAGAGCAGTTGGAGAGATTCTAGATTCCTCAGCTGAGTCCTGTTTCACAAAACAGATTGGCTCTATATTGGGATTTGGTTATGTTTTCCTCATCCTAGCTCTACTGGCCTTATAATTAGCATTAATTTCTCTCACATTCTAAATCTGTTAAATCTTTCTCAAAAACTAGAACAATATCAGTGAATTTTCTTTAGATATCTGATTCCCAAAATCTGAGCACATTTAACTGAACAACTTTGAGAATAATAACTTGGTTTATATATCAGATGAGTCACATATCCTCTGAACAAATGAAAGGATGTTGATTCTTTAAGATCCATAATTTTGAAATTGGACTTATAAAATTCTTTGGATATTGCATTAAATAGATTTATCATTGTTTGAATAGCACTTCAGATAAGAATTCATTAGGCAAAATGGATCTTTCATGACAACAAGTTAACTTTATTGTCTGCACATAAATTATAAATTCCAAGAGACACTCTTTAAGGTTCTATTGTAAAAATTCAACAATGTACTATCATTCTAATTTGTAAAATAATGTTTTTATCTATAATATTTGTTTTGGAGAAGAAAAACTCCCCCAAATGGTATAGAGTCATATTGTAGAGTGAGGATACTGTTGATTGGATATTTTGGTTAATTCTATTATTTCCTTAGCAATACTCATGTACATATATTTTTCTGATGGGCTTAGTTTAGGAAAACACCAAGCTGTTGGTAATTAGGAGACCCAATAATACAGTGGCTTAAAAAAGGAAATGTCTCTCTCCTATGTCACTCCTGGCAATGGTGTAGCTCCGCTCAGTGTGCTCATTCGGGCACCCAGGCTGCTTCCAAAGCTTGTCGTCCCTCCATTCTCTAGGGCAGGGGTCTGGAAACTTCTTTCTGTAAAAGGAAAGAATGCAAATACTTTAGGCTTTCCTGAGTGTGCAGTCTCCATTGCAGCTATACAAAACAGCCGTTGTAGTGGGAAAGTTAACCTTGCACTCCATGTCATGAGTGAGCGTGGCTGCTTTCCAATAAAATTTTTCATAACAGGCAGGGGGAGGGATCTAGCCTGTGGCCTGCAGCTTGCCAGCTGCTATATCAGGGCACTGTTGTCGTGTGCATGGTTGAAGCTGGGTCACTGCCATGGCTGCTTCCACTGGCAAGAAGAAGAAAGCATGAAATTGGCACACTCAAGATTTATAACACACTCTAGATTTATAACATCTAGATCTGAAAGTGATACATAATCAATTTGACTGACATTCAAATAGCAAAAAACATTTTCACCATTTCTAACTCTATGGAAGATTGGAAGAGCTAGTTTGGCTGTGCAACAGTGCACCTAGATACCATTTTCTTTCCTTTTGTATGTAAGGAGTGGGTAATGGAATCTGGTGAAAAACAACCAATTTCTGCCACATTGCCATGGAATTTGGTGAGAAAAGTGTAGACAATTAATATATAGCAATAGTCTATCAAGATTTAGCCAGACAACAGAAAGAACGGAGAATTAGAAATTATCAACCTCCTCAATATATAAGCACATATAAAATAAAATCAGATTTATTAAGATTTCATATATCATAAAAGCTATCCCTCACCATTGTAATTTTTGACAATATTAAGTTAATATTAAGTAATATTAAGTAATATTAAGTTAGCTGTAAAGTAGAATGCTTAACAAATATTTTAGATACCATAACATTAATAAATTTCAATTGTCAGCTCATTTTTTTCCTTTTAGTTTGCATGCCTAACCCATTCTTAAATGAAATCTATAATTTACAGCCTGCAGAAATTGATAAACGTTATCTGTGCAGTTTGTGCCAAATACGTGCCATTTGAAACAGATGAATGAAAATTAGGTTGGTGATGCTCTCCAGCTGTCAGTAATTTACTAGAGAAAGTCATACTGCCTAGCAATATGTCAATATTTTATTAAACACTTTTCCAAAATGCATATATTCTAATTTATTTACAGATTTTTCATTTAGAAGATAACTTTAAAAATGCATTGCAGTTACAAGAATATACAGTTAACTGATTACATGTATTTAATCCCATGAGCAAGATTAAAATATCAAGACCACATAGTCATGTAGAAATAAAATGTGCTCTTAATGTTTTTATCCTTAGTGCTTGGACCTAAAGTGTAAACAGTTTTGAGTGACCATTGGTTCCATAAATCTATCTGTTCCAATCACTTTGCATGGTTTCATTAATACACAATTCATTTATATCAAAGCCTAATAATAGTAGTTAAAGCCTTCAAATGACATTCTTTAACTACTCGGTTGTTTTGGCTAAAGTGCTGAGCATTTATTGAGATACACACAAACTTTCATTCTCGTTTTCTGTTTCTTGCCAAACTCCCCATCCTTCAGTCATCTATGCATTGGTTCACACCTTATACCTTTTTGTTCCATGCTTAGCCTTTTGTTAAAAGATAAAACTCACTTCCATCTTGAGGTATTTGTTGAATTACTGCTGAGATTTGATATTATGACAGTAAAATATCAAACTTACATTTCTCGTTGTCTCCTAAAAATTGTTATATATGGACATAGTTTGTCAGTACATAATGGGTTCTGAATTAATTTTTGATGATCTGTCTTGACACTACTACAATTATGACATTCTCTAGAGCAATAAATGTATCTAATATAATGAGATATTAAATAAAATGGGGCTTTTGGGAGAGGAGCAAAATATGTCTCCTATATGTATTTAAGGGGGGCAATTTAATCAATCATGCACCTGTTATATAGTAACATACTTTTATAAAAGGTCCTTACACATCTCCCATGGTCCTTTCTGTGATGTACATTAAGTTCTGAATTAAGATATCAGCATAATAACAGCTCCTGATTTAATTACTCCTTTTTCTTCATCACAGTACCCTTGAGCACAACAAAACTATTAACAAGAATGCCATGGAAAAATAGTAAGATTATGTAATAAGCCAATTAAAGTGATGAATTTTACCAATTAAAGTAATGAAAGATTTGAATGGCAAACATGCCTAGAGATATAGTTACACTTTTCTGTTTGAAATCCTTATTGTTGCAGAAGTAGAAAGAATACGAATTTGGCCCTAAGTATATTTTCCTCTACTTGAGGTGAAGATTTTGAGAAAATAGTTAAAAATGTGATACTGTCCCTACTCTATCAGATTGTTTTCTCACCTCTTGTATTTGCCTTACCAAATTATTTTCGTATTTTTAGCATGTATCCAGGTACTGCAAGTCTAAGGCTATAAACTGGTTACAATTGAATAGAAATTGACAAGTGTGTTACCCAATTATGTGGAGAATAATGCTAGAACTCTGTATCTTAGTGTCATCGAAGAGCACAGGGTGTTGCTGGTATGGGTGGGTGAAGGAAGCCCTGATTAAAGAAGTGTCCTTTTCATTTTCCCTCATGTTTACAAGAAAGAAAGTCAGATTTTTCATACTCTAGAAGATGCATTCCTGAGCTTAGAGTTAAAGAAAAGAGCAGTGAGGGCAGGTGAAAACCCTTTTATTCCAGTGGACCACATTAATAATTTTCTGCTAGAGACAATAGAATCTGAAGGACAGACAGGAAGATTTTGGCAGTATCTAAAACCAAGCAATGAATATGAGTAAGTATCACACTTATGTGTAATGACACAAAACAAACTTACCGTTATTTCTCTGTAATCAAACATCATTAAATAAAAAAATTGCAAAAATGGAACTTATAATTTTGACATCTGAAAGGGAATATTCCATTGAAGAGTAAAAATGAAAGCACATTTTCAAGAATGAGGAAAAACAATTTTTCACATATATAATCTGTTCTGTTTCCAAGTAGGACTAAAATGTGACCTTCGTTAAATAAGGCAAAAAAAAATAAAAATCTGTAAATAGCAGAATATGTTAAACCAAGAAAAAGAAAAGCAAAAATCAACCAATAAGGAAAGGTACCTAGAGAAATAAACTTCTGCGGAAAACAAAAAAGACAACAAAATAACATCCACATAGAAGCAAGATAAAACAGAATTAGCACTGCAGAAATTCTAATCAAATATATAAAGGATGAAATTGAGACATATTTCTAAAATACGGAATGTAAAAAAAAATAAATAAGTAGAATGAGGATGACAGATAATGAAAGACAGGCAGTGATTTTATACCATTAATAAGAAAAGGTTCAACATCTTGAAGAATAGCAGATAAAATAAAAAATAAATAAAATTGAAATAAGTTAGAAAATGTCCTTCTGAGAAATAGAAATCCTTTATTTAGACCAAATAATTCACAATTTCTGGGCAAAAAATAATGAAAAAAACATTCATTTCCAGTTGAAATAAAGAAAACTTTTCCTAACTGGCATGCCAATGGAAAGGATTTAGAAATGATGATCAAGAAAATCATGCCGTCAGGTATGCAATGTACAGAGTGAATGGAAAAATTAACAAACAACAGAGAAGGTTAGAGACAGACCTCACTGAAAATTAAGCTTCAGAAAGCAATGTCCCAATAGCTCTAAAGATCAGAGGACAAAAGCAAATGACCCAAGAACTTTATGAACTGTCCTTAAGCATTTTAAAGGTAGTATAAGTAAATTATGTTACTACAGGCTAAGAAATATGCAATTCAATTTTTTTCCTGAAAACAATGTAGCCAACAAGCAAAAAAAAAAAAAACTTGAAAATGTCCACTGACAATAGGAAATAAGATTGTATGCAAGATATGAAATGAAATATAGGATTCAAAAATAGGTAAGTTGTGATACTTAGACTTTTTAAATGAAGCCATTTAAATGGTTAGTACAAAGTCATTGCCATTAAAGTGGGTTGAGTTTATATATTAGAAATAACTACAAAAATCAATTCTTGAAAGATAACTTTAATAAAGCAAGATAATTTAACACATAATAGTATAGGTCTCTTAGAGCTAGAGAAATATATTCAGAAAAAAAGTTTCAAATTTAATAGTTCCATCCTTGATTTTGGAATAAGCTTATTTAAATTTCAAATGATTTTTCCAAGTTTTAAAGATAACTAAAATTAGTAATATAAACATAATTTTACCTTCTAATTTATTCTAATTGCATAAACAAAAATAATGTTTAAAAAAGAAAAATTGAAAGATGAAAACCATAAATATATGTATATATATGTTAAATTTCCATTAAATAAAAAAAAACCACAATTGCTATGAGCAATGTGCAGTAAATAACAAAAAAGAAGACAAAATAAAATAGACAAATAAATGCTACACAAATTGTAACAAAAAACAAAGACAGAAGAAATGCTAGTTTATGTTTGGAAACACTATGAACAAGTAGAATTCATGAGATATGATCATGGGTCATTTCTACTCTGGGATTATTTTGTATAATATCTAAGAAGAGAGTTTTATTTATATTTTTAACATTATTTTTATTTAATCTTGACTGTTTCTGCTTTATTTTTTAGTGTCTACAAATCAAGAGTATATGTCTATGACTACATCATAGAGTTTCAATCTCTTAGAAGAAATGAAAAAGCCTGTTCTCCTTAATGGAAAAGTAGACTGCTATATATTGCAATCCTCAGGCATAACAAATAGAAATCAATGGGAATGGTACACTAGCAGTACTTTAGTGCTAACAATAAGATCTATTGCTTAGCCAAACTGGGCCCTAGAGTTTATTTCTATCAATCTATTTCAGCTAGTTGGGTGCTTTGCATTCTAAGGAATAAAGAAATAACTCATGCGTAAGTCAAAATCATTATGATGAATGACATGAATTGTATTAACACATTTAATATGTTGAAATCAACATAGTTTAAGTGTCTAATCACCCCGTTGAAAAATTAGAGCTCAGGGGGCATGATCAAAAGCTATAAAAAGTGTCCACTTTTAAGGGTTTTTCAGAGGTCACCTTCC